AAAAAAAAAAAAAAAAAAAAGGTGTCCATGGGCGACGCCGATTGCTTACCATCAGGTGATACGTCTGCTCGTTTACAGTCTTATGCCATAAAAACAAGTTTGGCCATTAGCAGGTAAAGGTAGTTTCACGCCAAATACAATATTAGAACTTATCTAATTAGAATAGAATCAGTACTTTTTAGAGTATGTTAAGTGTTAGTACGTGAGTAAATAACAACACCTCATTAACTAGTTGATGGCCAGTGTGCCTATTAAGTGTTCTAGGACTTAGGACAATTATCGAAATACTTGAATTAACTGTGGGTACCCATTTAGGTACTTTTAATATTATCATAGAAATAAATATTATTACCTCCTTGCTGACACTCATGTATGCTGCCTAAGTATTCATGAAGGACCACATCTCAGTACGGAATAATTACGGTCGTTTAGAAAGCTCACTTTCACCGGTGTCACTGTCGAATGTTTTATATCGACTATTTGTATAAAACTTCTGTGTTAAATCCATTAACACTTTGGTTTATCACTAGCACACCCACAGTTGTTGTTTTTGATAAATAGGAATATTATAGTAAGCGCACAAGATGCGCTGTGGCTTGGCCGCGGTCGCCGTGCGTTCTGCGCTGCGCGGGAGACGCGGCAACACACATTCAACTGTTCTGAGCTGCCCCCTATCCCTACTACCATGCAGGATGCGCATACACGTTACTAACGTTGCCGGGCAATCCGGGCATTATAAACGTACGATAAATAATATCATATCATATAACCATATACTTAGGTACCTATATACAGTGGTTTAAATCTATGTTGTATGGGCTGTTTTTGGAAGTGCATCCATCTCTTTAGTTAGAATAGGACTACTAAGTATTCAAACTTGGTATTGTATGTTTTAACTTTTAAATTATGTAACGTTATAATCGGTGAAGGTATTTAGCTATTTGTATATTCATATTTGTGAAGTTTGTATTTTATTATAAAAAATATTTGTATTTTATTATAAACTTTATTGAGCGATTTGTGATTGTATAATTATAGTGATTCTTAAGTTAGTTTCAATATTCATAAAAAATGATAATGCAAGCTTGCGTATAATGAGGCGTTGGATGGAGGGCTCCATAAATAACAGTGTTGCTAATTTAAGAAAGTATCCATGACATTGAGCGATCTAATATATTATTTATTATAAGTAATCCTATAATAATAATAATTATTAATAAGTCATCTATCATTATTTGATCATTTCATACACATCTAGGTAGTTGGCATACATTTTGGATTGATATTAGTTGATTTAATTCGGCCGTAAAGCTACATATTACTTTTTGATAGGGTTAAAACTGTTAAAAGTAAGTTGAATATACTAAAGGTACTATAGTAGATTAGAACTTAATTTATTTATTGACATAATTAATAAATCGAGGACACTATCAAAATGTTTGGGCAACACCGATAAATGTCACCCCAATGTCACTGTCATGTCACATTTGTCCATCCATTGTTCTCTGACTTTTGCGTTCAATAAAATTGATAAATCACTAATGGACTAGGTTAGGTTAGACAGCATTAATTATATTTACCACTCTGTCTAAAATTCACGATTAGAGAGAAATAAAACTATACGTAATGAATTCGTGTATCATGAAGTTGGATCGACAACTTCCTATGTCATAAGATTCAAATTTCGAATCATCTTGGACTTGTCACAGGATGAACTTGTAAAATTTTAGATTTAAATACATAAGTTTTGTTTAAAGTGTGTGATTATTGTATTAAATATATATAGAGTAAGTTAGTGGAGGTAGGATCTACGGATACTTCTATTTTAACAGCAATACTGAATGTATAAACATTTTATTTAAGTAAGCAAATATGAACGCACATAATGGTCGGAGACGAAATTCACGCGCACGAAACACACAAGGTGATATTCAAGATCCCTATATTTCCTCCACGGTCCGTATCTCTCACCAAACCATCACTAAACCAAGAATAAGAAACATCAGAACTGATTGTATTGGATTGTTTCACCCTCACACAAGTACATATCCCTCATGTTCTTTTAATGCATAGTTTAATTACGTAGTTAGATAATGTTACGTAGTTAGGGAATGTTATTTAGATTAACTAGTTAGTTCCCAACGACCTACTGTTCCATTATAGTTTAATTTGTTCTTGTGTTTATTCAAAACTATCAGTTAATGTGATTTTTTTTTATTAGATTCATCAACTAGTATGACCACTAGTGCTGAAGACTTGTCTACATCTAAGGCTCTGATATTAGTTGGAATAATATTTGTATCATCCCTGCTAGCTTTGGGGCTGCTATACAAACAGTTTCCAGATTTAGAAGAGTGAGTACTTGTTTTTTTTTCTATTTCATTATAAACAAACAAAGAACATGTTGGAACAAAGTATAATTTATTGATGGAAAATTTGTGGTGAGACCTTTGTTGCATACATATTTTTTAATATTCTTAAGTACTTTTCTGGTACAATTTGCATTGTATGTTCAATCAACATGATTATTGATTATGTTGTTTTTTTTTCCAGGCATGAAAAACAACATTTGCATTTACCGTGGGACCTTGAAGATGCGAAATATTTAGGTTTAGTCCTAGACCGTTATAAGGAAAAGTATTTTTACGAAGTATTATTTGGAGTGTTCTTAGTCTACATATTGTATCCTTTTTACACTACACCGCTGCGAGGTTGATGGTGTTCTTAAATGAAATAATCAATATAATAATATCCTTAACTTGTATCTCAGTTTGCAAACATTTGCAATACCTGGGTCTATTTTTTTAAGTATCCTTTCAGGTTTCTTATTCCCATTCTACCTAGCATTACTCTTAGTATGCTGCTGTTCTGCAATAGGTGCAAGTTTATGTTTCTTCTTGTCTAACCTTCTTGGTAAGAAGTTAGTGAAGAAATTCTTCCCAGAAAGAGCTAAGCAATGGGCTAAAGCAGTGACTAAGCACAAAAATAATCTGCTCAACTACATGATATTTTTGAGGGTGACACCCTTTTTACCAAACTGGTTCATCAATATGTCTGCACCTGTGATAGGTGTGCCTTTAGTACCATTTGCTTTGGGAACATTCATAGGTAAGTTCATAACAAACATTACATAATAAATAGTACTGTGGTATTAATGTTATTTAACTTGCAGTTAAAGATAAGATGGCTGTCTAGATTTTATGACCTTTACTTTTAATTGTAGGATAGATAAACTATTCTGTTTAATTGTATAGAAGCCCATGGAAGGTCATGCATCACATATAGATTTTAATCTTGCATATTACTGGAGATGTCCGTCATTAAATTTGTATTATGTTCTATTTTATCAGATATCAAACAACTGCAAACTGTTTCATGTTTACAGGAGTAGCTCCACCATCATTTGTGGCTATCAAAGCTGGACAAACTCTACATACATTGACATCAACAAGCGACGCATGGTCATGGACCTCGGTGACAGCACTAAGTGTATTCGCACTCATCTCTCTAGTACCAGTATTCCTCAAAGACAAGTTGAGAGAAAAGTTTGAATGAAAGCATTTAGTTAATTTTTAGTTAATTTTATTTATTTTATGATTTAATAAATTGGTGTTTTGTACATTCCATTTTTTGTATTTTAATTTTTGGTGTATTATTAGTCTATAAATAAATAATAAATATAGAAGAGACTGATCTGTCTATATGGTTGACTGTTGAGCTTAGGAATGCGAAGCAGGTGAGCATAAATATAATAAAACCTCTTGTCAGCAATATGAGCCAACATGAGCAATAAATGTGTTGTTGCCCATTGAGCTTTGAACTGCAGGTCTCCAGTACCACCAGTTGTACCACACTGCAAAAAATAAACAAACATGTTTTTTTACATCATACTTAGGAGTCTAGAATTTTTGTTTTATAAAACTTATTTCAAAGAAATACAGGTTTATTATTTTATAACACAACTAGCTCGCGACTTCACGCGTAGTATACGAATTTTGGGACATAACTTTTTTTTTCTTTTTTCCAAAATTAAAGTAGCCTGTACTCCTTAGTAATATCACCTGCCTACAAAATCGGTCCAGCCATTCCAGAGATTAGCCGGTACAAACAGACAGACAGACTAAATTTGTAAAAAATGTTATTTTGGTATGTGTATTGTATGTATATTCATATGCATGTAGTAAAATGCAGTTATTTAAATATTACAAAAAGACACTCCAATTTTATTTATTTGTATAGATAGCAATTAAATTATACTATGAAATGAATACTCACACAAATAAGTTTCTTTTAATTCAACTTTCAGTGGCTTGCACTGGTGTTTACATTCTTCAGCTGGTAGTAAATGTATTTCTCTAGATCCACTTAAAGCCAATAGAAATGAGAAACTGCATTCTGTATCAGGAATATTGAAAGATCTCTGACTTGTATCTACAATTATAAATCGTTCAGTACTTTGTCCAAACTTTGGAACTACTTTTGGCCTTGGTATAACTTGCCGTAATACTTTAGCTACATTCATGTTATTGAATTTCCTGTAAAGAAAAGTGTAAGTTGAGAACAATAAAAAAGTCATTTAAAATGTGTTCAATCTATTTTAGTCTCTTAGTCCTGTCGTATGCCCTATATGTCTAAAAGCCGAAAATAGGTACATTATTTAAAGCTTATATATATGCTTATGCAAATTACCTTATACAAAAACTAGGAAAATCAGTTAAAAAATCTATTAATAAAAAAAATATTTTTGGGATGAAATCTTACCAGATATAGAAACTCTCGTCTTCTATTGGTCTGTCAATAAATAAATAACTGGGACTTGAATAATACTTATTATTCGTTAAAATCTTCGGAGATTCTTTGTCAAATGTCTCTTTGTTTAATAAATATATTTGCTTTAAAGCTTCCATATTTATTACCTGTTGTTCAGTCTGAAATAACAAAAAGGTTGTTAACAATTATTAAGACTTAAGAACAACTGATTAAGATAGATTTTAAAAGGTAAATTCACCTCGTAAATAAATGGTGCAGTTTGCTGCTGACTGACAGGTTTTGGATCATATACTTCTCTAATGTTAGGCACTGTACTACATGGCCAGCAGTCCATGTCAACCACAGCAAAGTAAGGATTTTGTATTAAACATGTTTCATGATAGTATTCTGCAAAAGTTTAATAAATGATGAATTACTTGTGCGCATTCACTTGCCTCCTTGTATAAAATTAAATAAAACATTTACCTGTCAGCGAAGGGAATAGTGATATTAGCGGAATTGAGATTTTTCTTAATAGTTTTAAACCAGGATAAATATACTCTTGTAAATTACATACGACACTGTTATAAATATTTTTATAATCGTAAACTATGTAAAGAGTAACAAGGAGTCCGACAAGTAGAATTCTATATTTGGTAACATTTCTGCGCGGGATATTAGCAGGGCGTTCACCATCATCTAACGATTCAAGGGAACTTAAATACATTTGTCTAAATTCATCTTCAGTCATGCCGGTGTCAATACATTGTTTTTTGAGATTTTTTATTGAATTGGAATATTCTTGTATAACTTCATGGTTCGACATGTTAGACATAAAGGCATTAAGAGAAATGAATGTTTTGGGCTTCAGAGTAAGACCAATTAGTAGGTATTGGAATAGATTTATCAGAAATATATCACAATATTAGCAAGTATATCTATCATTCAACACCAACACGTCAACATAGATCAGCTGGTTAAATTGTCAATGTCAGTTTTAGCTGTCATTGGTGACATATTAACAAAAAACTTTTTTTAGGCTTTAGATACCAAGCTTTTTGCTATGACAAGGAGAGGCAGAGGAAGTCTCAAAAGGAAATCAGAGAGCAATTAAGAAGTTCAATTAACCAAAAACCTGGTGAAAATTGACTAATATCGACTATCATTACTTCTAAGTATGCTCTCAGGGATGATTTGAAATGGTAGGCTTTTCGTGAGAACTAAGGCGCATAATAATAAGGCAGTTAGGTAAATATACCAGACCTATGGCATATTATGCCACCTTTGCATCAATTTAACGTAAATTTTCTTCCATTTCTCGTGCAACAAATGGCATCGTATCACAAATTCTCGTTTATTTTGTATCATTTTTATGTAATCATTGCATTTTGGTGCGGTTTTGATTTTACCTTCCATCCATCAATCTTAAATTAATCAGATAATCAAAGGATTAATTAAAATTTATGTTAATCACAAGTCAATAATGTACCTACATTTGCATACCTATCTAATTAAGTACTTAATTTGTAACATTGTATCTAATTTCGTGATATTTTGTAACGGCTTATTTTTAACTAAAAGGACTTGGTCTTATTGGGAGAAAATAGCTTGGTAAGCGAACCTAACGGGTAACCGGGGCTCCGGCTCGACGTGCAGGAGAAGGAACGGGGTGGTTTTTAGTCAGTAAGAGTCTGACACTCCCTCCCGCCT